GTACTGTCAAACATCAGTGAGCATAAACACAGTGAGCATAAATAATTTTTTTATATTCACCATTAATTTTAACAATCATTCTCAGAGGTACAAAAGAACTTTGAAAAATGTTTGCATCACTGTCGGTATTGTTTTAAAATTTTTGCTTAAATTTTGCTTTTTGCTTAAATGTTGCAATTCATCACAGCCTCATTTTGAAATTAAAACCATATTTTCCGTTTTTCTAATAAATACTTTCCTACAACCTCTGAGACATTAATATAATCGCAATGTGGTGTGGTCAAGTAATGTTTGTTGTTAAATTTCAGCTGCAGTTTCGATTACTTGTATTAATTCCTGATCGGGGCAAAAATATTTTTCGGCTTGTTGTATTATTGAGTAGCAGTGGTACACATTTTTTTCCTACTTTGAATAAGTTCCAAAGTTTTCAGATAAAATTGCCTTTTACAAATAGTGTCAGTGTCTCTTGAGGTGTTAATTTATTGATAGCTACTTTTTAAAAACATAGTTAAATACTTTTCGGTATTTCTTTGTTCTAGTAGGCGTGGCAGTAACTTCTTTAACAAATTTTGCAATATCAGTATTTCCTGACGTGCGCTGGCTAACTTTGACTGCTGTATACGTCAGTTCATCAACAGATACCTGCTTGTGCAGATCCATAGTTTTTCGTCGCTTATTGCAATCACTAAAATCCATAAAGGATTTTGATGGTCGTCCAGGTTTCTGTTGAACGTTTACAGGCAGTTTAATGTATATCAATGTTTGATTTGAGCCATTATTTATTATTTTGTATAAAACTTTCTTGTTTATAAATTGCAGCTATCCATCTTTTCATAAAATTGCTGCTAAAGAATTTTAAAACTCTACTTATGGTCCTTTTTTTTATCTCTTGAATATTTCATAACTGTTATAAGTTGTTCTTTTAACAACAAAAATCTTTCATCAAATTTATTTACTTTTATAATCTTTCATTATTTCATATAATTAAATAATGAAAAATTATAAAGTTAAATAAATTTCTAGATAAAATCTCTCTTCAAGTGAACAACTTTTTGTCTTCATACGATAAACAAGCAAACAATAAATACCAAGCTGAGCAACAGTGTTCTTAGTGATCACACTATTTTCGAAGCGTTAAAATAAAAAGTGACGGACGTTAGCCAATAATTTTACAAAAGTATCTGATTGTTAACAGCCTATTGTTATAGCTCCTAAAAAAATTATAACTTGACCATACTTGTTAACAAAAAAAAAAACTTATAACTTTATACCAAAATTAAAACTGAAATAGGCCGTCATGAAAGCGCTTTATATTATGCAAAATAACAACAGAAATTCAATGTTATTAAAAAATATAGGTCATACATTTTCTCATACTTTTCCGTCATAACTAGGAGTTTATCTTTTTTAAAACTGAACAATATGATAACAATAGCTGGAATAACAAATGCCGCAATTTTTCGTTTTTTTTTCTCACGAAAATTCAAACAACAACGTCACTTTTTATATAAAAATGCGACAATAGGAAAATGCAAAGGCAATTTTCTATGACGCATTTAATGAAGCAATTATCTAGCTTAAAAATAATAACGTTAATGGCTTTGAGTGGTTTATAAATACTCTACTGTGCTGTGTGCAACTCAGAAATAAATTTACAGGGGAAACGGAAAAATGCGGTAATACTTTACTCGATACTCGGTAAATGATAATACTTTAAAATACACTATAAATAAATATTGATAATATTTTATAAAATATATTTTATTTATGCACATGAATATATATATATATATATATATATATATATATATATATATATATATATATATATATATATATATATATATATATATATATATATATATAAATTTTGCACATTAAAATACAATGATAATCATTTTTATAGTTACGCCAACATACCTTTGGGAGTTGGTAAAAAAAGCACTTTTTTTTTTGAGCAGCCGGATGAGTCGAAAAATTTTTTTTAGAAAAGAAAGAAATTATTTTTATAACATATAATTAAGTTCATATTCTTTAAACTACGCTTTAATAGTTACAAAAAATGTGCCGTAATGGCAACAGAGCTCATGGAGTAAAAACAGAGGCGACTAGCCTCGGTCTTACCGACTTTTATGCAAAAGAATCAAATAAAAAATATTGAGTGAGTTGCGATTTTCTATAGTGTTGTCACATTCTCCTAAACATGTATCTTTAATTTTTAAGTAGTTTATATGCTTTTTTTTACATAATTAACTTTTTTTGGATAACTAACTTTTAGTTGTAACTAGTTGAAGTTGTAAACAACGACTGCATATATGTTTAAAAAAAGTGAAAACAAAAAGTTTTATAATCATTTTGAATCTTTAAACGAAATATTATATATAGATTTTGGATACTAATTTACATACTGAAAGAAATTGTCCTGTTTGGTTTTATTTAATTTACTTGGTAGGTGAGACCTTTCAATTTAATTATCTACTTATGAAATGCCTAATCATAAATTGTGCTTCAATCATTTTTAATACATATGTTCTGATCAAATTTATATTTTACTTTAGAATAGACTTTAACTGGCGTTCAGCGTTGCACCGCAAAAATAAACTTTGAAAACAGTCAGTTTAATTAGTCAATATTGTGCAATGTTCATGTAAAATATTTGATTCTTAAATGTATTTGTGTATATGATCCTTAATTGTACTTTTAATCTTAATTATTTTTTGAAGGTATTTTAATAATCAATTTTAAATAATGCACACCCAGAAATTTATAATCTTTTTACAAGTCAATTATATTTACAAACTTTTTTTATGAGATAACGCATCTCCTATATAGCACATTGGTACAATTAAAACTAATAACGTTAATTTAGGCTGTAACTACGTATGTAACTATGTAACTACGTATGTAACTATGTAACTACGTATTTAACTATGTAACTACGTATTTAACTATGTAACTACGTATTTAACTATGTAACTACGTATTTAACTATGTAACTACGTATTTAACTATGTAACTACGTATTTAACTATGTAACTACGTATTTAACTATGTAACTACGTATTTAACTATGTAACTACGTATTTAACTATATAACTACGTATTTAACTATGTAACTACGTATTTAACTATGTAACTACGTGTTTAACTATGTAACTACGTATTTAACTATGTAACTACGTATTTGCAAAACTAAAAAAAGTAATTTCAAAAGTACTCCAACTCCAAGTATTTACATAAAATTTAATTTCATATCAAAATATTGGTGTTTATTGCAATTAGATTTAAAATACTACATAACCATCATTAAGACATTTTTGGTTCCAAAAAATTAAATTCTTTTTTTTTTATTATTAAAATTAGGCAATTCCCGCCACAAAAATAACTTGTTTCTGTGTCAAAAAGGAGTTATTAAAACTTTCCTCCTCGGAGAAAACATTTCGAAAAACTTAAAATGTCTAACACAGTGCTGTTCCGAAACGAAGAAAAAAAGCAACGAGGCCATTTTGAAAAAAAGTCCTTAAGCTTCCTAGACCCAACCAAAAATGAATAAGTTGTAACATAATATGGAAAAGATTTTTGAAGGCCTGTAAATCATATATTGCTGCAAAGACCTCGGAACGGCAGGGTTAGTTTTAAATAAACTAATGACCGTATTAATTTTAAATAATACTTTGTTGAACTTCTAACTATAGTAAAAATGAAAAAAATTTCCATGTTTAATCTCTTTGTAAAATCAATCAAATTGAATATTGTGCAACAATCAATCGTTTTTTGAACAAAAAATAACTTTTGTATTTTCTGATAAAATTATGCTGGGTTGCGAAAGCGATATATATACTTTCCTAGGCTTCTAATAAATCAAATGTCAATAAGTAATCATTTTAAATATCTTCAATTAAAGTGTAACTTATTCCTCAGACATTTGGTTCTAATTTTTTAAATAAACTATATACATAGTTTGAAGAGAGGCGCTTCTTAAATTCGTTGATTCAATGGCTACTGTCGTCAGTCAAAATCACAACATTCATTTATAATCCTTTGTTCTAAGCGTTTCTTTTATTAAGCTTCCATTAATAATATTTTAACTAATTTAGGCGCAAAAGTTGTATAATAAAGAATAAACAATTTTTTTTTATTGATAGTAGAAATAAAATTTTTCTTCTTAAAGATTATGCTTTCTTTTTCATAATATATTTGAGCTCAACAACGTAAGAAGTATATTTCAACGATTTTTGGCAAATGTTATAATGAAAAATTTTTATTTTTTTATTTTTTAAAATGCTTTTCTATTCAATGCTTTTTTCATGTCGTTTTCATTTCATAAAGTTTAACAGTCTAAAAAGTTTATTTCATTATCAACTGTTTAAATAATATTTTTGTTATTATTAATGTAATATATATATATATATATATATATATATATATATATATATATATATATATATATATATATATATATATATATCATATATATATATATATATATATATATATATATATATATATATATATATATATGTAATACTTATGCTATATTTACCTAATATTTATTTTTGTGTAATATTTATGTAATACTTATGCTATTATCACATTTACATTTTTAATGTATTTTTCAACTTATGAGTAGATAAAAATTTGATTTTTTATGACTTCTGAAACAGATTAGAGTTTTTTTAATTTTATTTAAGCGTCGATACACCGCGATGTGTCTATATTAATATATATCTAATACGACACTAAATATACAACTTTGAAATGATATCTTATGTATAATAACTATATACAACGTTATGATGAAAATTGGTAAACTACGCTCTATCCTACTTGCTTTCTACGTTTTTATATATGCTTTGCCATTGCTCATTTTTATGTTACTTTTGGTTCATTTTGCTTGTTTTTTTAAATAAATGTTCTTAGTAATGACCATTGCTTAAACTAATGCGAGAATTTAGCTTGAAGGAAAGGTAGACTATTTCAAATTATAAAAACACCGTTAATTTAGAAATACGCTATAAATTAAAAAAAATTTGCATTTTAATAAAAGTACATTAAATTACATATATCATATACAATACATATTCTTTCACAATATGTTTAAAGTTAGGATGACGTTAAAGCTCGAACATTATTTCTATTCGATTCTCAAACGTAAGCTCATGCACAGCTAACGTTTGATATTTCTTGATCTCCAAATGTACTGTAATTTTTTTCACTTTTCAAACTGCACTTGCTAAAGTTAAAAAAGGATATTTGAACCGTTCAATACTTTATTTATAATAATTAATGCATATAAAAGTAATTTACTTAAATTAAAAAAGCTAGCTCACTCACAATAATATATAATCAAATTTAAATTAACCAAGGTTATAGTAGTGATGATTAGGATGACAATTCACAAACACATGTGTGTCCTCATCACAAACGCATGTGTGTGTGTCCTCATCACAAACGCATGTGTGTGTCTTCATCACAAACGCATGTGAATGTCCTCGTCATAAACACGTGTGTATCCTCATCACAAACACATGTGTGTGTCCTTATCACAAACACATGCATGTTCTCATCACAAACACATGTGTGTCCTCATCACAAACGCATGTGCGTGTTCTCATCACAAACACATGTGTCCCCTCATCATCGATATTATAAACAAAACAACAAGCTATTTATTTTCCTTAAATCAATTTTACAATAATATTAATAATAACAATAGCAATAACAATAATAACAATAATACTAATAGTAATACAAAAATATTAATACAAATTATAGTAATAGTAAATATGTTTATAAAAATAACAATAAAAAATAATGATAATAATATCATGATAGTTAAATATAGCATAATATTATTTATAATAATAAGTTAATGATTTATTAGCATGGTGTTACTCATATAGAAGTCCAACCGAAGGGGTGACACAAACTATCTTAATTGTTATCAAAATTTAATTTAAAATTTAACATTTTAAATTTATTTTGTAATTATTAATTTTATTTATTCATTATAAATAAATACACACATGCATATATATATATACATACATATATATATATATATATATATATATATATATATATATATATATATATATATATATATATATATATATATATATATATATACAGGGGTCGAAATAAGTGCTGGACATCGCCGCCCCTCAGACCATTTTTGAGACCTGCTATATGAGGGCAACCAACCATTTTTACTGAAAAAATGAACAATGGTTTGTTGTCCTCATCTAGCAGGTCTCAAAAATGGTCTGAGGGGCGGCGATGTCCGGCACTTGTTTCGACCCTTGCATATATATATATATATATATATATATATATATATATATATATATATATATATATATATATATATATATATATATATGTATATATATATATGTATATAAATATATGTATATATTATATGTATATAAATAAATATATATATATATATATATATATATATATATATATATATATATATATATATATATATATATATATAAATATATATATAAATATATATATATATATATATATATATATATATATATATATATATATATATATATATATATATATATATATATATATATATATATATACATATATATATATAAATGCACAAAAATAGCCATCTGCAAGGGCTGCAGTACATACATACACTGAGGATTAGGGTGTGGGCAGGTATAACTTAAATGTAAATGACATTTATTATACATATACATTTTTAATTTTTGACTGCTTGTTTTCACAAATTTCTCTTAAATTAATTAAAATAATTAAATAATTCCAAAATAAAAACCTTAACAAAACAGCTTTGCGGAAAAACAAATGCAGCAATAATAAAGGCTTGCTGAGGATTATGCTGCTAATAAGTAGTCGATATTAAATTAGTTAATTAACTTATAAAGAAAAAGCTTAGCAAATTTAAAGTTGATTCAATTAAAGTATTGGAAAATAATGAAACTTAAATAAACTAATATTTAATGAAACAACAACCTTTGTTTAAAAATAAAAGAAATCAACCTCTCGTGACCAGATGAAAAAGTTCTACACACAACGTTTTGATTACATGTGTTTCTGGTGCTGCTTGTTGTTTCTAAAGTTTTTTAAACCTAAGTTAAAAATTATTGATAAAATAAAAAATTTAAATAGATTATGTTCAACTATCAATAATAGTATGTTCAACTATCAATAAAAATGCAATATATTTAAAAAATATGGCTTACAATCTTTGAAAAACCAAAGACATCAAAAGAATAAAATTTTAATATTACTTATTTTCCATAAAAGAATGACTATATATGTTTCCAGTTATCTTCTGGCAGAACCATTTTCAAAGCATAATTGTTAAATGTTCTTTAATCCATTTTAAATAGAAAAACAAACTTTCCCATTTTGTGACACAAGCACATGTCTGGAGCTGCTTTAAACTAAATTTCTGAAAATGTTACAACTAAGTAATGTCATATATATATATATATATATATATATATATATATATATATATATATATATATATATATATATATATATATATATATATATATATACAATTTAAATTTAAGTTTAAGAATTTTAAAGCCATTAGGAATCCCGCCATATACACAGCATTAATCAAACAAGTAAATACATTAAAAAAAAATACCATCACAATACCATTTAAAAAACACAAAAAACAATTTAAAACTTTTTTTTAACAAAAAATACTTTGATAATATTAAAGAAATGTAAAAGAAGATAAATACATAATCAATAAATTTCATCATAAGGATTTTTTTGCAACGAGATAATCTAATATTAATTATTAACTACTGTTGATAACGTGTGCAAAATTGGATAAATAACAAAAGATTCTTTTTTAAACGGTAGCCGAACTAACTTAATGGGTATTTCTAGTATATCTGCTTTGTAAAGGTTAGATAAAAATATTGAAAATTCTGAAAAAATTAGGATCAAATGATAAGTTATATGTAGGATATGCAAAAAAATTATAATTGGTTTTATACTTTTGAAAACCACTAGTTGTTATACTTTTGAAAACCACCATTATGTTTACTTATAATATTACAAATTGTTGCAACATTTGAATGAGTTTTAATAAAAGCATTTTTTTTTTTAGTTGCAACAGTAAGACCATATTTAATCGTGATCAAAAACTGTTTTTAGTGTTTCATCCTGGTAAAAAAAATGTTTTTTAATTTAAAATTATTTGAAGACTTTAAATAACATGACTGCCAGAATCATACTATCAAATGAAAACTTGAAAAAGAAATTGTTTTGATTTTCTTACCATTTAAGATAAAGATTTCAAATAATTATCATAAACAAATGCTGAAACATTGTCAAGACAACCAAGTCTCTCTGCATCATATGATAAATAATGTAAAAGATACACAATATAAGCAATATTATTGGTGCCAAATAATGTATGATTAACAAAAGCAGTCTGAAACTTGCAATAAACTATTTACAATATACTATTTTTAAATATAAAAGGACTAAAAAACTTTAAACATAAAAAGTACTTGGTTTCTATTGTTTTTCCACATAGGAAAAAGAAAATTTTTGTGGTATTCCTCTATTACTTTACCAACAATGCCAACAGTGCCAACATACAAAAGAAACAAACATAAAATAAACTCTATACCAAGAAAGTTTGCTGAAAAAACAAGATGTAAAACATATATATTATATATATGCTTTCTAATCAAGCAGTTATATGAGATATTGAAGCTGACCTATTGGTTACCTATTTTTTATTTATCTATTTTTGAATAAATTCTTAACACATTAAATGTGTTAAGAATGGATAGCTGTTGTTAAAAGACAAAACAATGAAATGTGACAACAGCTAAACAAATTCATGTATATAATTTATTTGCATTTAGTTTGTTTAGGTAATGACATATCTTTATAAATAAAATATCATTAAAATATTTTAAAATAATGTAAAATTTATATTACTAACTTATAATAAACTATAACATAAAAATATTATAATGATAATAGTATTATTAAAATAATTATAATATTTTTAGTAATGCATGTAACTAAGATAATGATTATATTACTAATAGTATAAGTAGTATAATCATTATTTTAACTAGCTATATTTGTAATGTAGGTAGATAAGTCTTAACATAAGATGATTATAATACAATTGTTATAATATTTTTATATAACCATGACCATATTAAATCTAAATGGGAACTCTCTGAGTTCAATATTAGCCTTTCTTTTAAATAAACCTATAATTACACCTAAATCGATTACCACAGTTTAATATTAGTAACACTTCTACTAATATCAAATTTATTAAACTAATGTTAATAATAAATACTACTGTTATTAACAGTAGTATTTAATATTAGCCTTTTATATCACACATAAAATTGTATGAGTAATTTTATATATTACACATAAAATAGTATGAATAATATTACACAAAAAAGACATAATAATATTGTGTTTTTTGTTTTATAAAACTCTCTATTATAATTTATGCTGATCAACATTCATATAAAAACATAGACCTGAAAATCAATGGAAAGTTTTTGAATTTGATGTTGAAGTGTTGAAAAAAATACACCAAAAGTGCTAAGAATTGCTATATTTTTTCGAAATTTAAAAATTCTTAACAGGATTTTTTTTTTTTTAATTACGCTGCCTTCTTTTTACTACAGTTGGTTAGTAATTAAAATTACATTTATATGAAAATTCCTGTTTAAATAATTAAAAAAAAAAGGAAGAAAATGAATAAGGCTACTTATAAATACTGATGGTTTTCACAATATTTATACATTGTACATTTTTATTTTTTGTTCACACATCAATACCGTGGCTAGTGGGTCGGAGCCCCAACCCCCTTAAATAAAAAAACCTAGTCCTAAAATCGAAAAAAACTTTACACTAGGTTTATACAAAAAAGAAAAAGCTCCTTCGATTTGCTAAATTTTTAAATAAGCCCCCTAAAACTGCTGCACCTCCCCCTCAAAATCAAGGAGGTGCGAGGGAGCCTAGGCACGGCTCTGACTGACTTGAACAAGAAGAACATGCGACTAGTTAACATACATCGAGTCAGGATTTGAGTAAAGGCAAGTAATCTAAATGCCAACCCTAACCTTTTCACTGTGTACGTGCACTCCCTGCATGCTTCTCAACAACCATCAATCAAAAAGGTTTAATAAAACTAAAAAAGTAGACAAGTAAAATAGCTCTCATAATATCTATAAGTAGTATAATTATATATGAGCGTAAAACTGTAGTTCTTAGTACACCTTAGCTGGTATATATCACATTATTTGGTTTAATACCTTAGCTGGTATAATACCCTCAATTGCATTCATTTTTATTATAATTTTTCTTCTTTATTTATTTAATGCCAGTGCGAATAGTTGAAAGTTAAAGTTGGCAAGTTACAAAACTAATCAAAAAGTTAGCTTTGCGATACTGCAAAACTTTTTTTTAAAAAAAAAAAAAAAGCATGGTTAAGATTCGCACAAGATTGGAAAAATTGTTTATGATTAATCAAAGGCACATGAATAGCCTCACCGGATGTGGTGCCGATCATTATAAAATGATACCCATGACTATGCGTTTAAAGTTTGCTGGGGTTATGTAAATTCAACTTTATCTAAACTATTTTTTGTTACATTTTTGTAGCATATATAAATACATCCATATATGAACTATTTTCTTGATAATTTAGCAGATTATTAGTTTCTCAGTTATCTTGATAAAAATTGTGCAATTAAATAGAATAAAAAGTTATAATTTAAGCATTTTTTGCAACATCTACTCGTACTCATAAAACTTAATTTCACCCGTAGTTCAATGTTTAGGGTTCGGCTTAGAACCAAGAGGTTCGAGGTTTGACGCCGGCTCTAGCCCAATAAACGTCATTGTTCAGGAAGGAGGCGTGAAATTCCTAGTTAAATGCTCTTCTGCGGCGCTCTGTCATAAGATCTTCTGATCTGAAGGACTTCTGGGAACACCTTAATAAAAACAAAAAAATGCTTTTAAAGGATGGTAAAGCATCAAATAAGTTCACTTGTATTCATTGGATAATGGGATAAAAATTTTTAACTGCTCAACGAGTACAAAGCATATAAAAATCAACTAAAGAAGCTCTAATATCAATCTCTTCGTGAGTGAGAATTTTATTTTGCGATGAAATTGAAACACAACCCAAAAATACGGTTCAAGTATGTCAATAGCATACAAAATATTAAAACAGCTTAAAACGGAATCAATGGCGACACCAGCTCAAATATAATAGACGTTGCAAATCGACTGAACAATCACTTTTAAAGTGTTTCCAACATAGAAAATGAACTGCCAGGTTTATATAATGAACTGCTTAGTGATCTATCAGTTGACAGAAACTTTGGTATAGATGGTGCAAGCGCACATGTGCTAAAAAAACTGTGTTGAAAGTTTCTCGATACCGTTATGGACAATTTATCAAAAGTTAATTTGTAAAAATAAGGCTATGCTTCGCTGAAATTTTTTTTAAGTTAAAGTTAATTTGTAAAAATAAGGCTATGCTTCGCTAAAATTTATGAATGCCACATCCGTAGATATATAGAGCGGACGTGGCATTCATAAATTTCAGCGAAGCATTCGATATGCGGCCGTGGCGCAGTGGTTAGAGCGCTTGCTTTATAAGCAGGAGATCCAGGTTCGAAACGAGCCTTTGACATATTTTCGCGTCACGGTAAGGAAAGAGGCGTGAACTTTCTGGTTAAATGTACATCCGCGGTGCTCTGTTACAAAATCATTAGGTCTTCTTGGGGCACCTAAATAACAATTAAAAAAAAAAAAAAAAAAAGATATGGTTAACACAAAGGACTAATTTACAAACTTGAGACAATTTTCACTGAAAATCTTCTGAATAGGTTTTTTTACCAGCGGTTGTGGTAAATCGTGATATGTTTTTATATGTCCTTATGGTTGCAGGTTTTAAGTGGTGTCCCTTAAGGATCCGTGTCAGGTCTAATTCTATTCATCATTTTTGTAAACGAGAGATTGTTATCCACCCGTATAAAAGGTATGCTGATAACACAAAACTACTGGCTCGTTTAGACTACTCATTAACCTCACCAAATTTCAAAGCGATATCAACAACATAGCCGATTGGTGTAAAATCTTGTTAATGAAACCAGTAAATATAATTTAATGATAATAATTAATGATAATATTTAATGATAATAATGAATGAAACCAGTAAATATAAAATCATGCACAAAGGGTAAACAAACGGATACCCAGGCATCCTGATTATGCCAAATGTGAAATGGTACAGTAAATCAGCGTGTGCAGCCAATAAAGGCCACTATGTTTTAGTCAAGTAGTAACGAACATTCAGCCACATGACAACAATTACTTTAAATATAATAGACAAGGTTTGTTAGACTGCCTCTAGAATATTGACTTAAAGAAATCAAAATGCTAACTAACACTGAAAATCTAATACAATTGCGGTATTAGTCTTGAAAATTACGGCATCATATTTTGATATCTGCAAGGGTGAGTAAAACGTTTTTTAAAAATACAAAAAGCTTGAAATAGTGGTACCATTGTAACATGTTATTTTCACGGGAATATAAAAGTATCGGTCAGTTTGTTTTGATAAAAAAAGAAATTCACTTTTGGCTTCATCCCTTTATATTTCTTCTCAATAAAATCTTTGATAACTGTGATAAGGCAAAGTTAAGTTATTAGATTTATTAACATTATAAAGTAATAAAAACTCCTCATTATTTATAATCTTATTAAAAGGAAAAGTAAGTAACTCATTAGGGTAGAGTGGGGTATTGGCAAACAGCTAAGCGGGAATGCAAGTTAATGACACCAGTTATACAAAATTGATCGTATTAATTAAGTCTAACTACTCAATCATAAACCATCAAATGCAATTTTTATAAATCTTGATATAAAATAAAAAATTAGGGAAAAATAAAACCATTGATGTTCGGAATAACTGTACGTACGTGGGGTAATTTCGAACTCACAAACACTATTGTGTAAGAACGAATAAAATGCTGATCGTAATAACTATGTGCAAAAACTATACTATGCAAAAACAACAAAAAAAAAGGAGTGATTTTATATCCACAGAAGCTAAAACAGAAAGTTACTCAAGAAAAAAGTTTTATAAAATTATTAACTGCAACTGAGCATGGGATAATCTCTCAGCAGGTAAATAGAAGTTGTCAAATTTATTTTTTAGGATAATAGAGTAATAGTCAGAAGAAGGTGAGTTAGAAAATAGCATTGAGAAAGCGGACCAATATTGCACGAGATGTTAGAATGTGTAATATAAGTTCATATCAAGATAACTTGTTGTTAAAATCGATAACAATATAAACATTGTCTCATCGAGTGAACCCCATGTTCTTTGTATTGGGAATGAAAACTAAAGAGCATCATCTTAAAATAACCTAAAAATTCGCACAACATTACAAGTAAAAGCATCAGATTTTTACAAACCGAGTAGTTTATTATTGAAATGCATTGCCGTCAAAACTAAAACTAAAAATTTCACCCGAAAAAAGTCTTCAATTTTATATTACAATTTTATATTTGTTATATATTTTTTTATTCAACCTCTGATTTTGTAAAATTCGGAAAATTTTCTATAACTTGTTCTTACTTAATAATTCTTATTTAATAAATAAAATAATGATATATAAAATTTAATAATTAAAATAATAATTAAAACTGCCTTTATTATTCATAATAACAAAGTCATTCTTCTTAAAATTAACAATTAACGTAAGTTGCACAAGCTGCTGTACTTGTTTATAGTAGTTCTTTTAACGCTTCCTTATATGGAAATGATGCACAGTTTAAAAAAGAACACGCCCTAATCGCTCTTCGCTATACTAAAATATTTTTTTTAAATCAATAAGAATTCGTAACAAAAAAAGGCATAGCCATGAAAGATTAGTTTAATACCGTTCTTTGTAAAAAGTTGTTCATAAATTTTCATGCGGCATTTTTATTAGCAAATATATAATTAAATTATTATAGTAAAAATATAATCCGTTTAACTTGCATATAAATAATTTTTTCCTTTTGAAAAGTTATTATTACAAGTTGCAGTAAAATGTCTAGAAAAAGGTGTGTCCACGTTTGGTTGTTAGTTCAAGTTTTTTCAAATGGTAAATCATTTATTTTAATATTATAGGAGTTTAAAACAATTAATAACTTACTTTAAAGTTTTAAAAACCTCAAATTTTGTAGCAAACTACCAAAACGGTTTTATGATGCCATAAAATGATACTAGCACGGGTTTACATACACTTTTGAGCAAAAAATAAAGAGAAAAGAATTTCGCCTTAAAATTTCATTCATTTCATTTTAAAACTATTCATTGAAATTCATGGCATTATTTTACATTTTAAGTGCAATATTATCTTTTATGTAAACAAATATAAAAAAAGAAAAATAATGCTTGATAAAATTTATCAACAACTTTTATAAAATTAGTTTTTTGTTTGCTCCAGCAAACAAACTTCAATGTTATAAAAAGACAATATCTACTCATATTGTGTAGCAGTGTAAAATTCTGAGAAAGTTCCTTATTTGTTCACAATTCTTTGGAAATTTTGCCTTTCTAATACTTTATACCACTTTTGTAAATATAAGACGTAAATTTTTTACGTCTTATATTTACAAATGCATCAATCTGTTTGTTTTGATTAGCTTGACCAAACCATAAAATAAGCTTTTACCAAGCTTGTCTCAATCTCTTTAGCTTGTTATTTTTTTTTTAAAAAAAAAGTCATTAAGTGATTTTGGAACTTTTTTTAATATTCTCATAGCTGCTCAAAGTACCATTTTTTTCAATCAAAACATAATACTTAAACTATTTTTAACAAGACGTTTATAATAAATAAATTGACATATTTTTTTTTGTTTTTTTGTTTTGCATAATTTAAACAATAGATAGTTACAACACCTAAAATTAATAAACTTACCATGTTTAAATATTTTTATAAGTAAAATAAACGTCATTTAAAAATACGCAGAAAATCATCATTTTAATTAATACTATAAAACTGAAAAAAAATTCGAAATTGTTAGTAACCCCTGTTGGAAAAACATGCCCCTTCTAACATTATTCAATGGTTATCATAATACCAGATTAGGCTTTTTACAACATTGAAATTTTATAGCTTCGAGAAACACAGCTTTCTATGATTGAAATATAATTCTTGAAATAAAACAAGGGTGAGTCTTTTCGTACGCACGTGTGAATAGACTATATCTTATTATAGTCTATTCGCACGTTTAAAAAAAAAATTTAAGTTAGATTTTTAATATGAAATCTCTCACAAACAAAAAATGTTTATAACTTAAGTCATATATTTTGAAAGCAACTTAATTTTTTTAATAAATTATAACAAAAATAAATAAAATTACCTAATCATAATTAAATTTTTATTCAAAAAACAAACAAAAACGGCTAATAGGTTAAATAAACATTAGGAAATACTTCTTTTTGTTTTTAATTAAAAGCTTACCTTTAAGTTCGATGATCTTTACCTTTTTTTAATTAAACGTGCGAATAGATTATAATTAAATATGGTCTATTCGCACGTGAAAAACGTGCGAATAGACACTCCGATAAAACAATTAGAAATTTTACATTTTAAATAAATGTTTACATTTTATAGACTCGAGAAGCTATATTAGTGATCAAAGAGTTTATATATATTCGTAAACAAACAAATAAACAAACAAGCAAACAAAAAACTAAAAAGAAATAAAATTAGTTTTTTTAAAAATTTTTCTAAGAAGTTAATTAGTTTTTTTTTAAAACCAAGTTTTTTATAATTTATACTTTAGGTAACTTTAAAACTGGCAGTTTTGTATTTGAAAATTTCTTTTTTATTTCCATCTAAACATATTTTTTTAAAAAACATATTTTCCATATTAGTATTTCAAATAAGCGAAACGGAAATTGTATATCCTAAGCGCTACATCAAGGAACACTTGCAAAACGATTTAGGCACATTAAATCAGGTAAAGTTGCTTTTATTTTTAATTGTGAAAAATAAAATAAAAAACTTAAAACCAAATAAATAAAAA